CAACTGGAACGGCTCGTTCCAAAATCGGAACGGCCCGTTCCCAAAAAGCAGAACGACCCGTTCTGAAACCAGAACGACCCGTTCTAAAACCCAGCAGAACGGCCCGTTCTGCTTTCAGAACGGCCCGTTCTCCCTTCCAGAACGGTCCGTTCCAGGCCCGTTCTGGGACAACAAAAACAACACATTTTTAATACTTGGAACGGCCCGTTCCACTTTTAGAACACCCCGTTTCAAGTTACTAAATTATCCCTATAACTTTAATAAATTTACGAAAATACCTTTAATAATAATATTATAATAATAATAATAATAAAATAATAAAAGTTGGGTGTTACAGAAACTAGGGTGGTTCACTTCATTCAGTTCAGAACACAAGATAAACAGTATATAAAAGATTAGATATATTCATATTCACATTCACAAGAAATCAGAGAGAAATATAAGTCACTCAGCTGCATGTGATTTTAATTCAATCAAACTTACAATTATCTATATATTAATTTTTGTTTTTTTCTTGAAAATCAAATCAGGAGAGGGAATGGAATGCTAATTTCTCGGTTTTGTAAGAGTTATAATTCTTTTACAAAAATGAATAAGCTGACACGCGACTCAGATACCACTGATGGTTTTTTTTATGGTATTTGTCTGATATGATATTTTATAAGGGTTATTTTTATAAGGTTATTTCATACACAACTTCATAATGATGAGATATTGTATTCTTTAAGCCTAAGCCCTCACATTTTTTCTTTTAGTCATCACCCAAAAGGTTTATCAATCATGGGAGTATGTGTGTGCTTTATAAGTTATTATTTATTATCTTATTTTATCGATGTGAGACTTGTTTATATCCCAATAATAAGATATTCGATTGTTTAGTAGTCTAAATAATATGAACCTTCTTGGGTGTTCTAGGTGTTATTTCTTATAGTAGCACTTGACTACTTGATAGGTTAGAATACCTTGCTATTGCTTATGATTACAAAGTTTTTCTTATAAGAAAACGACTATCTAGTGTTTCGATTGTTCGAATACTTATCCAATACACATGTCTCTCCAAGTCTCAACAATTGGGCATCCATAGGCTTGGCTCCTATAAATAAGGTTCCCTCTACATTCACCGATGCATCTTGCATCCTTTGTTTTCGCATTGAGATGAATATTATTGCCCCAGCATAAGAGCCTTTGCAATTATTCTTCTACCTTCAAGTACATGGTTTTCAGTTTAGTCATTTTTGGTTGAAGCTTGTCGAGTTTTTTGAAGAGTCAAGTTCAAGGTCTAAGGTCGGAGATGAGTTTCACAAGTTTTTCATACAAACACTTTGACCAGACAATCCTCTAGAAACTATTCTAGCTAGTTTTCTAGTGATAGTCAACCTTTTAATGATAAGATTCCACTCACTGAGTGGATTGATAATACTAGTGAGAGTACTAGTGATGCCAATAGATCTATCAAAGCCTTGATTCATCAATCATCCGAGAAGGCACCAAAATGTCAGCTCTATGTGGAAAGGGAAAAGCAAAAGTTCTCCCCAATAGCGATGCTTGAGTATACCTAGGTGGATCGAGAGATGTATGTTTATTATTCTCGATATTCTAGTAAGAAGAGTATAAAAAATCTTCTTAGTTACAATATATAACAATATCTCCTTTATTAGTGATGATATTATTGTTCCAATCACTCTTTGGGCATGTCAAAATCACACATATCCCAACTTGGACTTCCTTTTTTTCTAAATAAAGGAAAAATGATGTAATTACCTTTGTACTTCTAGGTATTTCTAGTGCCTAATTATTAATAAATTTCTTTTGCTGACCAAAAAAAAGGAAAAATGAGGGGTTTCTTCTATATGTATTGTAACACTCTCAGATTTAACATCTTTCAGCGTGACTTCATATGAAGACATTTCATACAGTTTCTTGTTGGTCAAAATTCTTCACCTGTCAAAATCCTCCATAAGTATCCCTTTCTGAGATGCACAATTACCTTTAGGATCACCGACTATCCTTACAAGTCTATACAAGACTTTTCAGTGTGCTTTGTCTTCATTTGTACATTTTTTAAAAAACTTCTCAGAATGTTTACAGGTCAAGCACACTTAATTTTGTAGCGTTCTTAAGTGATGAGCTATCAAAAAATAGATGCATCTTATTGGTATAGGTAACACTAATTAATTCTTTTAAGTCATTATCTACTATACAACCTCATACTTGTAAAAATCTCTACATTTCTTTCATTTTAGTGTGTTCAAACTATTACATGTATGATTGTGGGTTTCAAGATCTCGGCATAGTCATACATTTTGACGAGTTAACCATGAGAGTTGTTTGAATTGTCACTCTCACTCAACTACATCCAAATGAGTGGGAGCCAATCTAGGTATTTCAAGCTCTTTATCTATATACACATATATGAAGCCTATGCTAGAATTGTACTTATATTATTTTTGTTCCCTCCAAGCTCAAAGGTGCAACAACACCAATCCTTCCTTTTCTTTAGAAGACAATTCTATAACACCATGATTTCAAAAAGAAAACACCAACAAAGAATTAGAAATGAGATAAAATATTAATAACCTTAATAGCTCTTTATAAACTAATTAGACAAAGCCTAATATTTTTTTATATAAAAAAAGACGTCAACCTTCTTTATTTTGAAATAGCATTTTACCCACTAACTCCAAAAATGCATTATATTTTTAAATTAAAATATTAAAATAAAACTATTTACTATATAATAATTAAATAAATATAACATTTTAGAAAATTTGGGATGTTAGAACTTTTCCATCTTTAAAAGAAATTATTTTAAAAAAACTTACCTAAAGAGAATAAAAATAGATAAGAGTGACACATCTATCTTTCAAGTTACCAAGTACTATTCTCCTTGGAAGTTCTTCCCTAGACAACCTTGATTGAAAAAAATTTCTTTTCCTCTAAGTTATTTCACCTTTTTTTTATCCTAAATCCTCAAGTGCAATGTTTCATAAATAATATTTTATTTTATTTGAATGTTATTAGATTCAAGCAAATGAAAAGGATCATGAATGTATTTTCGGTGTTGGATGGAAGAGAGACTTGAATCAACTTAATTAATCTTTTTCAATGGTATGATGCACCACTTTATGTCATAACATAATGTTTTAATTAGGTTATAATTATCACAAAGATATCTTATATTCCTTACCATACAAAACTTCATAAGGTGTCATCTCAATACTATAATGATAGTTATTGTTATAGATATTCTATATATAAAAAAAAAAAAAAAAAAATCTATCCCAATTCCTCTCTACACTAAAGCACATGCACCAAGAAGATACTATATAGATTGGATAATTCTACCAATTTGATCATCTATTTGGAGATGCTTTTTATTGAATTAAAATCAGTTGTCTCACAAATAGTCTCGTTTTTGGTCCCTCCATAAAAAACTATCACATCAATTAAATATGACATAAGATACAAAAATTTCCTAATTGCGCATCTTCCTTTCCCTCCCACTGATTTTGCACATTTGAAACCTCCTCACCAAATTGAAATTAGTCTCTCCCTAAGTCATCCCACAACACTAGAAAAAGGTATAACCTTTTTTATCGCTATTTTCATCATTTGTGCAATACAGTTACTCGTCTAGTTGATGTGACAATTTTTTATTGGAAAGAAAAAAAAATGAGGCACTATTTATAGGTGATTTCAATCAGGTACAAAGAAAATCTTAACTTATTTTAGTAGACTGTTTTATGTTTCAAGTCTTGTAGATGACAAGTGTTGCACAACTTAATTAGAGAAGCGAAACATCTTAAAGAGAGTGACTTAATCCGTGACTCAGAGTCTTTTTTCTATTTATGTTTGATATCTTCAGCAATAAAAATAAAAATGTATAAAAAATAAAATAAAGTGAAAGAAAAGGTAAATATACCGTATAGATGTATGAATATCATTGTAGCACTACATTACCATTTAACCAAAAAAAAAAATACTAAAACACGGTGCAAAATAATTTTGAAAATGATTTATATATCATATGAAACAACCTCTTCTCATGAGTTCCGATCCGTATTTATGAAAAGAACATGTTAATCCAACTAGCGGATGAGTGTGTTGTTAAGTTGTTATTATCAGATAGATTCTATATGAGAATCCCAATGGATGGACAGCAAGACTTAAAAGGTTCTATTGTTTCTGCTTGGACTCACATGTCATATGTACGCCTACTAATAGCAGACATGAAGAAAACTATAAAAGAATGCAGCCAGATTTTGATACCTTCCTTGCTAAATCCGAGAAAGTCATGACCAAAACGTCAAAACGCCTTTCATTTGGCAAGAGACACAAACTATTTATGGAAGAAACTGATTCGCCTTACATTTAGATAAACCTTAATCATCAATTTTGAATTTTCTAACTCGAGTGGACAAGCATGAAAAACTTTACTATTAAAATGTGAACATTTGGACACGATTTATTATAGTATTAAAAATGATGTTTGATTGATAAAAATTACTTTTAGAGAGCGTCAGTTAATTACTGAAATAATCCGTCATGTCCATGTATCAAACAAATGTAAATATTTTATCTAACTCAATATACAAAATTGATTTATAAAATAAAAATTATTTTTTATTTATATACTCAACTTTTAGTCAACGTGCAATTCCCAACGATAACAAAGAAATTCAGAGCAAAAAGACTTGTGATTAATAAGAAAACACAAAAAAACAGGAGAAAAATTCTAAGCTTAAGTGAACTTTAGGGTTTTGTTCGATGCTTTTTTCCTAGCTTGTTTTGGTAAAATTAATATCAACCCGCATGTACGAGCTGTTATTACGTTTGCATCGCAAAGTAACTAGACTCCTCAAAAGTAACATGTTGAGGCATTCTTTGTTCGTAGTCAGAAACCAAAGGCGAGTAAACCAAAGAGCTTATATCTCCCCAACTAGTGCTTTCTGTTGAAGTCGTGTTTGTGCTGCCATTGGCCACGTCCATGGACTCCAAACCATAAAACCCCCGCATGGAACCATCTATTTTTCGCGGGTTCGCACAGGCCAACTCACTCAAATCACTGGGGAAGTTCCCAAACCCTTGAAATACGTTTGATGATGTTGACGTGTGACACGTGTCGGTGGTTACCATGTTCATTGTTGAGGGATATAGTTGGTCTTGTGTCAAGGAAGTGTCACATGATGAGTATTGTGAATTCATGGTGGCAGTGACTATGCTGTTAGGGAAGTGTTTGAGATCGGAGTATTGGGTTGAAGTTGAAGCATTTGTCATTGGATGGTGTTGAGGCCAATAAGGAGTTTGGGTAATAACTCCCACTGGTAACATCAAATTCTCAGTTTCTCTCTTCATCTCTTGATTTAGGCTACAAACTCGACGAGCTTGAGCTTGTTGCTCCTTCCTTTGCTTGCCTAGTAGCTTCTTCTTCAGCTTAGTGTTCCAATAGTTCTTAATATCATTATCCGTGCGACCTGGTAATTGTGCTGCTATAATAGACCACCTACATATATTAAAAAGCATCATTATTTTATCATCAGCTCATGCCATAAAAATGTTCACTTAGTTTATGATATGGTACTAATTAAATTAAGTGATTTAGAGTTTGATCCTTAATTCTTGTCCTTGGTCTTGTAATTGAATGTTGAATTTTAGCATATGGTTGGTGAATAATGAATTTTAGCATACCTGCTTCCAATGTTAACATAGAGGCTGCAAATTATGCTGTCTTCTTCTTCTGAGAAACCCCCGTGTTTGATGTTTGGGCGAAGATAGTTCAACCATCTTAGGCGACAGCTTTTCCCACACCTTTTGAGACCTACACACACCACAGCAAAAAACACTCGAGCATAAGAAAAATTGTATCAAGAGGCAAGTATAGATTATACAATTAAGAAAAATGAAAATCTAAGTGAACACATAAATGTTTGATGAAATAAAAGATGGACCTATTTTCTGGGGCAGGGCAATCCAGTTGCCACCAGTGCCGTGTTCTTCGATATAAGATTTGAGTTTGAAGTCTTCTTCAGGCGACCATGGACCTCTCTTCACGTTGGCTTTGTCACAGCAAGGAGCCCTCCCCATGTTTGCTTCTCTCTGCGTCTTAATTGATCTCACTTTCAACTAAAACCAATGTTTATTGCAAGTTGATGAGAATGATGATACTAATTATGATTATATAAGGAGGAGGGGGGAGAGAGAAAGAATAATTGCCTTGAGAAATAAGGACACAAAACTTCCGCCTTTTGCAAACGGAATTCAACTTCTTTTCCTTTTTTTTTTTTTAATAATATGGTTTTGTTTAATTCAAATAATATGTTGAATATAATAAATCGAAAATCTCTCGATTATAATTTTTAATTGCACCAGTTATTAGTACTTTTTACCTGGGAATATTTTATTCGATGGCATCGTTGAAGTTAAGAAAAAAGAGAACCCGAAGACTTAAGTTAAGTCCTTCAAAATATGAATAAAAATTGACGCAGTATTAGATAATGGAAGAGTTGGAAATTAACAATAGGGCGGGGGACTGGTATTTTTACCTTTGTCTTTCTTTCTCTAGAATCTCTTTTGTTTAAAAAAAAAGTGTGTTTAATTTGTAAATAAAATCATACCAAAAAAAGGAGAAATTGTGTGTATAAGATAAGGTGATTGACATAATGAAATGGATAAATAATGTTGTAAAAATATTTCATGGACGTGCTATATAAATAATATATCTCATTTATTTATTTATACTCTCCATTCAGCTATATTTCTTACGTCTCTCCTATTATATGCCTGTCAAGAAAATAATGTCTCTCCTATATTGTTATTTTATGAAAACAACAATGGTATGCATTATTGTCAAGAATGGTGAATGAATGGATGATGATGATCGCAAACATCATGTACGGTGTGATGGTGGGACCAAGCGTACGTTGAGCGTTAAAGTGATCAAACCTCATTTCTTTAGTTCTTTCTTTTACATAATGCCTTGATAAGGAGAGACCCTCTTAGATTATACGCTGGACAAACAAAGTGGATATGTCATATCTCCCGTGAACAAACCCTCTCTATATATTGCTGTCATAAAAAAATAAAAATAAAAATAAAAAAAAAACCCTCTTTATGTATTTAACGAGCTAGTGAAAATATTACAACTCTACATATCCCATGTATATATATATATATATTTTTAAAATACATATATATATATATATATATATATATATATATATAT